TTTCAAAGATATGAAATTGGTTCCTTTTTAACATTTATTAAAATTTCAGGAGAGTGCTAGTTAAATTTAATATATTAAGCAATGTAGAAACCTCTGTTGATGTTTTTAAACCTTATGGACCACATGAAAATATTTGGAAAAAAGACTCAATAATGTTCTGTCATAGTTAGAAGATTCCTCCTAGAAGGAGCACCTGGTGTCACCCCACCCCCATTTTGTGAGTGATACAATCTATTTGCATTTTCACACTTGTATCTCTTCTTCCATCGTAGACTGACCTGGTCATTTCTTTGGAGTCTTTTTTGGTTGATTCAAATCAGTGTCTGCATCTCCAGAGTATTCATAGCAACACATTTTCCTCATCAAGTTATTCTTGGAGTAATTGGTGGTAAATATGATCACTTAACTTCAGTTGTATCATTTGAAAGGTTTTGCTTTGTATTATGGTGGGTTTTCTTTGGTAATCTTCTTTCCAGTTTCAGCCACTGATACTAAACATTATCTTAGGAGCTTAGATGGTTCAACACACTTCTCATAGCCTCCATGTACACAATGATAATCTCACCCAGTGGCACAAAGCCATAACTGCATAGTGAGATTGGCTTTTCTGATGTGTTACTATGGCAAAGATGAACTCCCAAAGCTCATTTCAGAAATGGTATTCGTGCCTTGGTTTGGGAGACTTAACAACCTTGAAACCTGCCACAAGGGTACTCTTTCTGATACATCTGAGGCAGTCATTGAGTGACTGGACTTCCTTAGCCGACTACTTTGCATTCCTGAGGCTGTGTTTTTACCATGACTAAGTTTCTGAGGCTTAGCCCCATGGACTTTGCAAAGGCCTTCTAAGCTAATTGGCTATGGCAACTGAAATACTGACCACAAGGCCTTAGATTAGTGCTCTGCCTATGAAGTGCGTTGTCTTTCAGTGCCACCAACTCCTGACTGATCCTTATGGGACAATATGTATAGTCAAAAGACTAGGGGAGGGGCCTGGCCTTAGCTCAGTAGTTTAAGTGGCTGCTTCCACAAAGCTGTCAGCCTCAGGTTGCTGTGGTTCAATCCCCACAACTCTCCAGCCAGCCAAACCAGCCATGAGGGCATTCGGAGCAAAAAAAAAAAAAAAAAAAAAAAGACTAGGGGACAAGTTGTATTCTCAGTTAATGCCTAAAAAGGCTTTAGGAAATCGACAGAGCTTAGGTATCTAAGCCTTTTGTCACTGAAAGCAATTATTACATTACTTAATGAGGGAAGGTGCCATTCCTGAGGGCCTCAAGAAATCATCAGTGTCTTCTTCCAATCCCCAGGCATGCTGGTGGCAGAGGCCTTTGAACACACTCCAGGCATCCACACGGCCAGCTTGAGCACGTATCTGAAGACCAACCTCTTCCTCTTCCTGTTTGCACTTGGCTTTTACCTGCTTCTCAGATTGCTCGACATTGATCTGTTATGGTCTGTGCCCATAGCCAAGAAATGGTGTGCCAACCCGGACTGGATCCACATCGACACCACGCCTTTTGCTGGACTTGTGAGAAACCTTGGAGTCCTCTTTGGGTTAGGTTTTGCAATCAACTCAGAGATGTTCCTTTTGAGCTGTCGAGGGGAAAACAGCTATAAGCTGAGCTTCCGCTTGCTCTGTGTCACGACCTCATTGACTACGCTGCAGCTCTATCACTTCATCAAGATCCCAACACACACAGAGCATTTGTTTTACATGCTGTCTTTCTGTAAAAGCGCATCCATCCCATTGACTGTGGTTGCTCTGATTCCCTACTGTATTCATATGTTAATGCAATCAAGAGAAAAGAAGATCAAATAGAGTTGTACAGAGAGTTCATGCTCTCTAGCCCTACCATCACCCTTCTCCATCCACCAGTAAAACCACAGAGGAAGGAGAAATTGTGGAGCATGTCACATCACAGGCAGCAAAATGGTGGCTCCAGTCCCAACCCACTCTCACATAGGTTTAGTTTGGCCTTTGCAGTGTTGTTGCAGTTGTGTTTTAAGTTAGCACTTAAGAACCATAATATTTCACATAAAAAAAAAAAATCTGAGTATATCTATTTGCTTGAAATATCTGACCATAGGGCAACATGGGGCCTGCTTTCCCCTGGAGATGTGTGACTGGAGCTGATTATTGACTGTTCCAATAGAAGAACACACTCTCCATTTTTGTCACAATCTTTGTGCCCCAGCAGCATCCTCAGTGTCAGATACTTTTATCATCTTAAGGCTTGACTGCTTCTTGTTTCTATGGGCCTCATAGCCAAATCCAATCCCCTTAGTTTTCAGATAAGGAAGTGGAAGTCCACTCAGGTCAGACAATTTGCCTGTACTCCTACCATGTGAGAACAGGAATTAGAACCCAAGTCGTCTGATACGGATTTCCTTTGCACCCTGTCATGTTTCTTCATGTTTAAAAATTAAATACCTGTACAAATAAATGTTCCTACTTAGATTCTATGGTGATTACCATCTAAGACAGCTATTGTCCCATAAATGTCATTGAAATATGACATGTAGTTTAGCTTACTTCCTCCGTACAGGGCCCTGATGAGGCCAGCATGTTGTACATACATAAGGGTATCCAGTGGAGGTGATCAAGCCAGGCTCCCATTGTGACATGAACTTCCTAAATCCTGCTCTCTGTTTCATAGTTGTGCTTGTCAATGCTTCAATAAACACTCCTGAAGAATCTGTGCTAACGATTCTTCCTAAAGCCTATCTCTTCTCTATGACATCCTCATTTTTTTTTTTTACTTTTAGGAGCCAATCTTCCAAAACCATAAAAATCAAATGCCTTCCTTGAATTCATGCTCCAATTCATGCATGCTTTCAAATACTTGCATCTGTGAGCTGGATTAATCTCTACAGATACAGAACTGTGATAGAAATCTACAGCTTTACTTTAGAAAATAATTATAGGCTATTAATCTTATACTAACAATTTCTCAATATTTTTCCTCTTCACTGAATGTAATGGTTCTGGATTTTTTTTTAGGGGACAGAAAAATTTTATTGAGAAACAAATATCAATGAGATACTTTCCAAGCTGATTAATAGGACATTTTCAATAATTAATACATTGCACATTGTTGTCTTCTCAGTGGTCATTCACAGCACAAGAAGCAGCCAGGGCATCCTGTCCAAACACTACTACTACAAATCCTTCCTCTCACTGAACCAAGCAAAAGCAGCCGTACATCTATCCTGACTATTCTGTATATACAAATACAAAAGGGTTTTTCCTCTGTATCTCCCTCTCCAGTTCAGTCCTGTCAGAGATGGGTATTCTGGTTCTGGACTTTAATTTGATAATTGTGTCATTCCAATCAAGCACAAGGATTTTGAGTTTGATTTTGCCACACATTACTGACCCACCACAGGTCACCGTGTAATCCTTCTCAAGAATATCAGAATTATTTTAGATGATGATATATTAAATTACCAATAAATACTTACAAAAACATAACCAGCCAATGAATTTCAGGGATAGCTGCTTCTCACATATGAGGGCTTAAAAATGCCTTTTTCCCGTCACTGGATGAGCAGGTTGACTCACGTCTTGAGTATACTTGTCCCCTTCAGCAGAAGCAAACTTGAAACTTTGCCTTGTCAGGAAGAAAAAAGATAATTACTTCCTCAGCTGAAGGATGAAGAAAAATTTTCATAAGAATAATTTGTGTCACAGTTGCATGTCACACTCCAGTAAAAAAAGTAGCAGAAGAAATCATTCTTGCTTATTTCTTCCAAAGCCACTCCCTCCGCTCACTTTACAGGGTCACTTCAGTCCTTTGCCACCCTTACCCTACCACATCTCCTTCTGCATATACCAGGGATGTGATTCCCCTCTAAGTGCCCCTCTTCAAAGTCTCCTATGAAGTTAGTAATGTTCTTTTTATCCTGTTTTGTGTGTTTCTTGGTGCGGGCAATCAGCCTCCTGTATGACGGCAAGTGCTACGCCACTGAGCTCATCTTGAAGAGTCCTCCACTCTGTTCACAGAAGGAAATTAGTAGCAGAAATTCCAGTGCAGAATTTGACTGTCTCATGAATTCAATCTCAGTTTTCACCGAGATGCTCTTCTTACTGCTCTCTTTTTGGGGTGACATGGGATCCTCAGGGAATAGGATGAGGTGCAGGCTCATTGCTTTAATCGATCTCCATCAACTCTACTCCTGCCTGCCATAAAGCCCCAGACAGAAACCATGTGGGATTTTTCTTCCTGCTGTAGAGCAGCCTCATGGAGACATCCGTATGGTGGTAAATTGCTTTTGCTATTGAACTGCTTAAGCAGTGAGAGGAACAGTGTCTCACTGCTCTGGAAAAAAAATGCCTGCCTTTAGTGATGGAAAAGGCTCTTCTACTTCCAATTTGTTTGTCAGTCATAAGTGGAATTGAGCTCATTTGACTTACTATTACTATACCCCATATATTCAGATTGTCTACACATTTACATATGCATGGAGAGAAATGTCAATATCGTGAGCTTTCTAGATGAGAAAATCTAGACAACTGACTTGAGAAACTGTCCAATCAGATGTACATTTGAAAGGAAATGCAAGGGAATTTATTATTGCTGAAGCTAGCTATCAAGAAGAATGTTGATTCCCTTTCTTTTGACAGCCTGTTTATTGGACATCTGCCTTAGAAGATTAAATTCATGCCTCATCTCTACCTGTTTTCCTATTATAGAAGAGCAACTTTTTAAAAATGTCATCAGGTATTCTTGAAATTCAGTTACATCCCCTAAATACTGTGTACTCAGAATTTATGAATAAATTTGAAATTGAATCAGTACATACATATTAAAAAATTTCATAGAATAAAAAGTGAAAAAATATGGGGTTGAAAAGTATGATTCATTTCATCATTAGCTAAAATTATATTTTCCTGCATTTTCCACTGGAGCTTTTCACAGGGAAGGAAATGTTACGTATCTGTGCTGGTCAGTGCAGTAGCCACTAGGCCGTGCAGCTGATGAGCTGGTGAAGCACATCTCATACAACGGAAGGATTATATTCCAAAACTTACTTTACTTTTAATTAGTTTAAATTGAAGCAGTCAGGCCAGCCAAATAGCTCAGGGATTAAAGTGCCTACAAGCACACGAAGAGGCTGGAGGTTCAATCCCCGGGCCTGCCATGCTGGTCCCACCCCTCCCCCAGGGCATGTTGAGATAGCAATTGAGACTGGGCACGGTGGTGTGCGCCTATAAT